CTTACAAGCTTCTTCAGGTATGGCTTCAAAATCAAACTCTTATGGCACCAATAGATTTTTGGGATGAAGAAATTATTTATATTTCTGAGAAAATTTGCTGCTGTCATGCAAAGGAGCTAGTAGGAGAATGAGAGGCAAGGTGTATACACCTCTGTATGCATAGATAAATTATCCAACTTCTCACTTCTGTAGAGAATAGAAACATTAGGTTAAATAAAACATGCCAGAGTGTCTATTCTAAGGAGTACAACTCTATATTCCCATATTATACACATATTAAGTTTTCCATTGGGGATGAAGAGAGGCATATAGTATTTGCCCTATTTTCAAACTACAGTGAGATAATATAGAAGGAGGGAATCATTTGAGATTAATATAAAAATGTTTCTTAAAATGTAACATTAGCTTGATAATAACATTTGCTTGGTAATGTAGTAGAGATATGTTTTGCTCATCCAGTGCAATCCCTTTAGCCAGTTCCATGACTGTTTTAAGCCATTTAACCTGCATGGATGTGATGCACTTTAACTCTGTTTTCTGATATGCTGTAAATATCTTCTCTCTCTCCCTCCCTCCCTCCCTAGTTTTGGGGCAGTGCCGTAATACTACTGAGCCTAAGAAGCTACCAACTTCTGAAAAGGAGCAAATATATCCTAGTGATACTTGTGCAGCAATATACGAAACACGCCTTGCAACTTTACAACAGTTCTTTAAAGATGTATGTAAATTTAGTGGGAGTGTGGTGGGAGAATATTCCATTTACAGGTAGTCCTCGACTTATGACCACTTGTTTAATGACCATTCGAACTTATGACAGTGCTAAAGTGACTTATGACTGGTCTTTACACTTACGATCGTTGCAGTATCCCCACAGTCACGTGATCAGAATTCGGGCGCTTGGCAACCAGCATTTATTTACAACAGATGCAGCATCCCGGGGTCATGTGATCACCATTTGCGACCTTCCCAGTGGGCTTCCAACAAGCAAAGTCAATGGGGAAGCTGGATTCACTTAATGACTGTGGTGATTTGCTTAACGACCGTGGCAAAAAAGGTTGTAAAATTGGGTGTGACTCACTTAATGACCACATCACTTAGCAACGGAAGTTCTGGTCCCAATTGTGGTTGTAAGTCGAGGATTACCTGTATTTAATTGTACTGAATTGTATTTAGAACTAGTTTTGATGTTACAAAGTTTTGTAAATGTGACTTTGGTGAATGAAGATGGCAGGCATGAAATATTTGAAATTATAATGTTAGTATGAGGGTTTCACAGCCAGTAAGAGTTTGGATAATGGCTCTGGTTCAGAATTAACTACTATGAGGACCTGTGTTGCTTATTGTATAGCAGCCTTTCCTTACCTGTCATCCTCCTTTAGCCATGAGAGCTGGGCGTTGTGCAAATTGCAATTCCAATTCATCTGGAAAAAGTCTGGCTAGGTAAGGCTTCTATGTGGAATTCATCCTAGGAAGCAGACATCCAGATGAGAAGTTACTGCACAATTTTCCCCTCAGTATAGCTATAATCAGAACTTTGGTGAACCCATTATTTGTCTCATTCTTTCAAAATATACAGAGTGCAATTTGGGAGACAAGGGGGTAGCTGGATTAATCCTATTGCAGTGGTTCCTTTTATTCTTTTTCAAAAGCCCTGAAATGCTTCTCAGATCACCCCACTGAATTTATCTGTGGTTGGTGGTGATTTTACAGGTAATTTTTGCTCCTTATGGATATTACAACTTTGTAAAATAAGAATACTAGCAATGAAATTTTTTTTAGAATTGCTTGTTCAGAGTAACATGATAAAAAATGGCTATTTATACTATCTGCTGCTGTGTTATTCTAACTTAATTTTGTTTGCTTGAAAGACCTGCCTGCAGTAGCCTTTATTCATTTCAAACACTGTACATTCTTTAATAATCATGCCTTCAATCACGTAAGGATAGAATGCTGCCTATGTTCCTTTACACATTTACCATTGTTTTCTTCCTTCCAAATTCTTTAAATATGGTATTCTGTCTAGCTCAGTAAAGAATATAACAATTTAATTAGCATACAGTATTGCTTAAAAGTTTGTGGACTCTTTTGAATTTTCAATATTTCTGCATAAATGTGACCTAAAATGTGACCTGTTCTCCACACAAGTCCTAAAACTAGATAAAGAGAACCCAATTAAACCAACTAACTATCCACTGGTGTCCTTTAGCATACCAATTGTACTTGTTCATTTATTTATTGAAGAAAATTATCCAAAGCTACATATTTGTGTGTGGCAAAAGTATGTGGATCTCTAGTATTATTAGTTCATTTGAAAGGGAAATTGCCTTCATCAACAGGGGCTAGAAAAAAGGAGAGGAAAAAACAAAATGACTCTTGCTTTTTTACTCCAAGGCTTTAGAGATTAATAGTGTCTGAACAACAAACATTTTAATGTAAAGTGAAGAACTAGAATATGAAATAGAACTGCAGGAAAAAAATCAAACTGATCTTGCTATTGGTACAAGGAGGTAGAAGAGATCAGTTACAGTATAACAGCAAAAATATGCCCAGGGGCTGATTGTGGAATAGGTGACAAACTGCTCATGTGCAAGTTCCAAGTCAAGTAAAAGTATAAAAACAAAGCCAATCAG